AAGAAATAGAAGGCTTTAAAAATTATCTTCTGAACAAATTGGATTTTTGGCCTTGAAATTTGTTTTTTCCTCTTACAGCTTGGCATGTAGGGTAAATGAACTCAGCACCATACGACCGTTCACATAGTTGCAAATACATAAATACCCATACTTCTCCTACAGTATGTTACCATCTTGTGAACATCTCAAAGTGATATTTTTATAGAAACTTCTCGGTGACAGGGCTTGTTCTTGTTTTAAAATGTGGCTGTTTGCTGATGGTGTGTTTGAAGAATGGACATAGTGAATGAACATGAGATTTGAAATTTCATGACCTCTGTACAGGACAATTGTCATACTACTATAAGTAAAATGACTTTTTGTTCAGGAGTCCTGCACAAAGTCACTGTATTATGTGAATCGCAGGTTTTCCATCAAGGCTTGACTTGGAAGGGATTGAAGGGATTCACAGGCCTTCTGCTGGCCCTCAGTCCATCATTTTGAGGACAAAGAACTAAATTGGAACTTTTTTTTTTTTTTTTTTTTATATAGTTAAGGGGGCCTGTTTTTCATTCTCACCCAATTTTTGTTTTTGTCATGAATCAATTCAGTTGAAAAACAGGTGGGAAATACCTAGTAGTTTGTGTTATTTTGTCCACTGTATTATCCCAAGTTAGGTTTTCTACCATATGTTATTGCTTGCTGCATCTGGTCTGTCTTAGAAATGTTTCAGACCACGAGACTTCTATCATTCTTCCGGGGCTACTATTTCATCTAACAGATGACAGGAAGTTTTTCTTGATAATCCTGGTAGCTCTCTTCTCTGGCTTTGTGATAAGTGACTCCATTATTCTTTGAAATATGTGGGTGATCAGTGGTCATTTTCAAAAGATTCCCTTCCAAATTGAAAGACAAAGAGAATTTTAAGCAATATAGAGGATAGATAGCAGGAGAGAAAAAAATTTATCAAGCTGGATATACTTTTTGATAGAAATATGTTTTTGAAGTCTGCAACATACTTTTCAGTGACACAAAATTATGATGGATACTACTCTTGAGATACTCAGATTTACTTTTCTAGAGACCTAAGCTGGCTTATTATTTCAGTGTTAAGGTACTGACAGTGGAATTTCTGAAAAGTAAGACTGAAAAACTTTCTGCAGAGTGAATATGTGAATCTTTCCATCATTTCAACCTTCTTCTGCTACTTTTTGTTGTGTTGGTATCCCTTATTTTGGACTTTTGTCACATGTTGTGAAGGCCAGTGTTGTACATCTGGATCTTGGCAGGTTGAGAACTGTGACTGTGAATAATGAGTCAGTTATCACTTAGGCAGAAGGCAGAGTGATCCTCTTGCTGTCTTGAATGTGATCCTTCCTCTTCCCCCTTCTCTTTCAAAAGTAAGGAGAAATGGTTGAAACTCAGAACACTGTCAAAGGAATGCAGCTGTGATACTCCTCTGCAGATTGTAGTTTAAATTTACAACAATTCATGTGTTGTTTTTAATAATATTTTTTAAGATCATGACTGTTACTGCTTCAGAACAGCCAGTTATGTGATGCATGCATTGAGAAACTATAGGTATCAGTAGTTACTTTGGACATCTGAAGGTGGATCTTACTGGCCCTGAGGGGCTGCTTGAGGCTAGCCATGTCATGTGTGATTCACCTCCCCCACTCCAATTTATGTGGCTCATTATGCACATGGTGACATAGCTGAGATTCTGTCCGCAGCATGCATTTCACAGCTGCTTTGGGTTGCTTTTTTCATTTCCTTCTGAATTTTTCTTCACTTGAAGTCATGAATCTAGTATCGCATTGCAGTTGTGAATGTTTCATCAAGTGTAATGTTTAATATTATATAACCCAATTAACTCTGCAGTGGTCTTAACCAGAAAAAAGTTTCTGACAGCAGTTTATGACTGATCTCTTAAGAAAAGGAACAGTGCTTCTAGCTGTAGTCTGGGGTCAGTAAGTGGCACATAAATACAATGAATGCACTTGATTTCTTATTAGCTTATTTAATCTATCTAGCTTTTGAACTGTAACAATAGCTCAACTGTCCAGAAAATATATAACCTAATAAAATAAGTTTGTCAGCTCATATGCACTGTCTAATTATAACTGCCCAGCTATGTGTCATAGATCTTTTTATGCTAAAATGATATTGTTTAATTTGGAGAATTCAGAACCTATGTTTTGGAGGAGGATGATCTGATTTATATCCCAGAGGAATGACCACAGTGGTATCCAAGATAGACATAGACTTGTGCAGGAATATCATGTTTATTCAGAGCCTATCAGCTGTATGAATTATGTTGCAGTTGTTGATGTCCTTTGTCTCCGTTGATCTGGCTGAGAAAAGTGTATGGATTCCAGAAGGTTCTTCTGACTTCTCATACATGAAGGCTCCTGATGTACACAAAGAGGATGCCAGGTCCTCCGTCCTTATTGCTACTCTATAGGTCTGCACATGTTTGGCTGCACAATTTGCTAATACACCCCTACCCTATAATACATTAATATTTTTTTGTGGCTTGTCAGTCTTTAATATAAAATTTGTCTGTTCTTTGTACAAAACAGGAAGTCCATCCTGTTTTACCACTACAATAACAAAAGAGTGAAGCTTTTTGAGCTAGTCATCTAGTTCTTCCTATAAAGTAGGGTGACAGTAAAAATATCTTTAAACAGTGGGTGACCATTTTACCTGTCAAGAGTTTAAAAGAGGTTTTGTTTGTAATACTGCTTCCTTTCCATGACTTGAAAAAGAGAGTGTGTAGGAAGAAGAGATTGCCCATATGTACTGCTGTTTCCAAATATTGTTTTGGGAAAGTACTTGATAAAAAACAGGGAGAAGCCAGATGTCATATCAAAGAGACCTGGGATTTAGGAATTATTCTGAGGTCTGAGCATTAAAACTGTTTGTTAAATTGTTCTGGTCTGGTAGAATTTTCTTTCTATGAACCTTGACTCTGACGAGTGTGGACTTCAGGTTATGTGCAGACTGCCAGCCCTTTCTATGTGTCAGAGTAACTCCAGCACAGAGCTGTCCCTGGGGATTAATAACTCTTGAGTGGATGGCTCAACCCCAAGGGCATCATTAAAACTCTCCACAAGATTTACTCCAATGCCTGTAACATATAATTATGCTTAGAAATGCACTGCAGTGTTTCTTATTGTTGCAAAGTAGATTTTTCAAACTAAACCCAAGAAACTCTGCTATATGAGCATTTATTTTTCATTAAGAACGTGTGGTGTGAAGTTAATTTGAATTGATTGTTCTGTAGCCGCTCCATATTTGATAATGGGATTTTTAAAATAAAAAGTCCTGCATTTTTATTTTGGTCATGCTTAGTATATTTTTTGCCATGTTGTAGGAAAAAACCTATTTATCTTGGGTTCAGAGATCCATACTTCCATGCACATTCTTGGCCTGATCTGTAATCAGCTCCTAGATCCACTCTGTACTGTTGAGATCTCATTTGATGATCCTGTAGCTGTATCCTTATTCTGATGGCTGCTCTGTCCCCCATGGACCTGGCTCATAGAACAGTCAGAAGCACTAATAATTGTCTTAACTTTGCTCTTATTGTCCAAGGAGTTGTTAAAATGTCTGAAAGATGTCCCAGGCTATCTACCATTGATATACTCAGTTCTGTCTATAATAAACATGAGAGAAGTTACTCCAATCTTCTGTTGATGCACTGGCAAAACATTTTTCCAGTCTGTTTTCAAGACTGAAGGAATCCCCTAAGGGAACGAACCCTGCTTGAACATCTGTATTTAATATTGAATCTCAGGACCTAAACTTCTGGCAATTAAATATCACTGGTGTACTGCTGTTTGTTAGTCTGATCCCAGTAAAATATTTATTCGCAAAATTTTCCCACCCAGTCAGATTGATGATAAAGGGAGGAAATCAAGTCGGTAATAAGCTAAGGCAAGAGCATGCTATGGTTGTTAAACACTGAAAACAGAAGTTAAATGAGGTGTTCTACTAATTAAAGGTACAGGGGCTAGATTATAGGTCCTGTCAGTGCCTCTTTGGCAGTGGTGCCCGTGGGCACCCAAGAGCTCTGCAGTGCTGGGCCTGGCAGTCTCACAGCCAGTATCAGTGTCAGCTTGGGCAAGGACTGCCAAGGCTCACTTTGTTACCAGACAACATGGGCATTTGCTCTGATGGCTGTGAGGTTCACACATGGGGCACACGTTTGGGCTGATAGTCACTGTAAACAGGGTGATACCACAATACTGAGGTAGGAAGTACAAGAAGTACTTAATGTTTGGACCAGATCATTGCTATACAATGATCAAAATCAGAGTCCTTTCTTGTGCTTGATAAGAAGGTACACCGTCAGTTAGGTATGTGAAGGAATACATGCACTTGAACTGCTTCAGGTATCAAGTGATTTTGTGAGCACAGATCCCACATAAGCACAATTGCAGGACTTTTGAAACTACACATGTAAGTGTTGGCAGTGCGTGTTGGTGTTGAGGAATGAGGGGGGTTTTCTGGGTTTAGTTCTAAAAATGTACATCTAAAATAGCTGTACAGAGTGTGTGCAGTTGTGATGGGGTTTATAGTGGTTTGCAGAGAGACTCTTCATATGTGCTGGTGTTTGCAGTGCCAGATGAAGGCATGGGCACAAATGTTATGTACCATTTTCTACAGAATTCAGAGAGCATTTAAACAAGTTTTTAAACAAAAACTAAGGTGTAACCTTACTTCCTGTCTTGCTTTTTTCAGCTTTTGGTTTACTTTATCAAGTTTTCTGTATACTGCATAAGCTTTTGAGAGAATGAATTCTTCAGTATTGAGGAATAAGTGATACTCTGTGCACTTTAAGTTCAAACTGCATATTTGGTTTTATGATAAAGATTGCAAAATATATGTATATGATGCATATTGAACCTCTGAGCATGAGAGGAGCAGTGAATGTGTAAAATTTGATCCAATGAAATTCACATTTTTCTTCTCTTGAGTAGTGCATTATGTTATCTGATGTGTGATTCTCCTTGCAGAGGAAGCGGGGAAGACAATTCCAGGTAGTAAAGTGGACTCCTTAAGAAAAACGTATTCTACTTCTGAATTACCAAACAGAAATAAACAAGATGTCTCACCTGGAAGAAGCAAAGAAATCTGGGTGTCTCATCCACCACAGATGCCAAATGAAAATGAGGTAAGGAGTTAACATTTGTCCATGTGGACAAGCACCACATTCAAACAGATGAAATTATGGGAGATGCGCTGTCCAAATGTTAGAGACTAGTGGTATTTATCCCATCCGAGGCAAATATTTAAAATACTACCTAAGTGTGTAATGCTTACAGAGGCACCTGCAGGGATCATGTTTGGCAGTGGCATTTGCTCTACCGAAGAGCTGCCATAATCTAATAAATAAGGTGACCTGCAAGGACCTTTGTAATGCTTTCACTGAACACTGCAGTTAATGGTAAAGATTGGCAAAAAGAAAAAAATCTTGAGTATGGATGCCAGCATACACAGATTAATTTTGTTCCTTGGGGATTTTAGCAAGTACTGAGTTCTGTGTTACTGAAGGTAGATTCCTTCAGATACCTAAACAGTAGGCAGGCCAGAGGCATTTTTAGTCTTCTGAAATGTATGAGATTAGGGATTTGATGTGTAGGGACAGGAAAACAACAGACATTTTCTGGATAGAGGGAGATGGAAATCTGAATCCACTTGTCAAGAACTGCTGTCCTGCCTGATTAACTAAGCTGTGATCTCAAAAATTTCTGTCATTAAACTTTTCATTAGAAAAGAAGTAGCATGTCATTTTGTGCAATACAGGGCAACACACTTAAGTGCTTCAAATGATAGGCCTGCCAGGCCCCAGTCAAAGAGCACAAGCTGTCATTTTCCTTCCTACAAGCACATGCCTTTGAGGTGGAATCAAGCAAGGCTTTTAAAACAATCACATTCCATCAGTTGATTGTGTAATAATAATGACAAGAATCATTTTGTCATTTTTCTCATGAAGAATACAGTTATCTCACTGGGATAGACTGCTTTTGGGTCTCTTACTTTGAATTGGCTGTCTTCCCCATAAAGCAATGTGCAACTTCCGTTATCCTTTATTTAATGAAACATCTCAATACTTGTCTTTGTTGCTACAGAAAAAAAGTTTCAGGCATGGCTGCACATTTTCGTCACATTAGCAGTTTAAGAAACAAATACAGTAATAGTACAATGCATCAGAAAAATTCTAGTGTAGCAGGAGGAGGCTGTGATGCAGTAAGTTGGCCACTGTAATTTTTAAGCCTGCCCTGAGGAAAGGGAAGAGGGAAAAAACTGCTATTGAAAACAATGCTTGTTCTAAATGCTGCTTTTTAGGCATGTTATGATTACTTGCACTGTTGTTCCATTTGATTCAATCTGGTCCTATGTAGGATTTCAAAGGATTACCTGTATACATTTTATTTTCAAGAGCATTGCATTCACTTTCTTAAAAATTGTAAATATACTGTAAAGGATCTGTATGTGTAAATCAGTAGGAGGTTTGACTGTGATTTTGGTTCTGTTTCTTGCATATTTCTGCCTATCTACCTGCAGACAGGGGCGAATGGGAGCTGGAAGGCTGGTCACTCTGATGGAAATGATGTCAGTCTGTCTGAAAGAGTGAAGGTATGTTTTTCTTTGATTATGGGCAGAACATGACTGGGTTTTGCTTTATTCATTTACAAAGTACTTGCAATACATTTCTTTTCCATCTGTGGAAAGGAGGATGAGAGCATCACCATCCCAAAATTTTTTCAAATGTTAATGAGTGTGTAATTTTAAAGAGTAAAGATTATGTAAGTGTTGATGAAAATGGTGTCAAATCAGGTTGGACAAATTCTCTAAGAGCATCTCTAGTTAATTCATGGAAACACAGAAGACTACCCAGTGCATCTAGTAAATCCTTCACGGTAACACTAGTTACACACAGGCTGGGAAAGGCCTTTCACTCTCACCCTATGCATCTATTCAGAGTGCTAACTGAAATAAGAAACATCTTTTCTTGTGCTATGTTTTAGATAGTTCAGACTGTTTTCAAGGGATATCAGCATGAAAAAACAGTAGTGCAATGTCCCAGATTAAATACTAAAAATTTAATAATACTTAACTTTTTTCTTTCCCATTCAGTTCACCATTAGTATCAAAGCAGAAGGATCAAGCTGTACTTTGCCTGCAGCATGTATTGTCTCTGTGCCATATGCAGTGTGCTTGCAAAACTGCAGAGTAACTTATCATGTATCTTTTTTCTGTGATAATATTTCACTTCTCCATCTTCCCACTAAGTTCCTGAAAAAGTTTTTCTGTACAGCTTGAGCTTCTTTCCCATCACGGTTGAAATGCAGCAATTTTGGCAGCAATTCTTTGCCTATACATAAAAGTATTTCCTTTGGGTTAGACATTTCAAAGAAAATTCATATGCTTTCTTGGAAAAATGCAGGAGAGAATGGAGAAGATGAAGCAGACAATTTAATGCTTTTTTTGCTTGTACTGTAAGGAATGGAATTAATACATTTTAATCTATTTTCCAGTTTGTTTTTTTTTTTACAGCAGGTGGACAAGTACTTAGATTTGGAAGATACAGACACAGATGAAGAGACATGCAGTGGTAGGTTTTCCCCCTTCATATTCACTATGGTTGTCTGTCTTTGGATGCAAGTGTATGAACACTGATTAAAGAACTGTTTCTCCTCTAAAAAATATGTTCTTCCAAAGTTTTTCTATTGCTAGGAGATTCCCCAAATTGCCCAAATTCCCTAAATTAAATTACTTATTTCCTCACTGTAAGAGGTAATGAGATAATAAATTATAAAGAATATTCATTATACCATGTCCTAGTGAGCAGTTATTTTTTTCAAGATTCTTCAGAATTGCAGAGCTCTTCTTGTCAGCAATGTTTCTACATTTTTCTGCACTTCTATTTTGTATTGAAATTATTTTGGTTACAGAAGTTTCTCCACAAAGTAACGTGGGTGCTAGGAGAGAATTCTATAAAGTGGAAATATTTGATGAAAATGTCCTTATCTATTAAAAAGATTTAATCCTGGGCTTAAAATACATGAGACTAATTTTGATTGCACAGTGAACTTATTTAAGAATTCTAATTATGAGCATTTTGAGTTATGTTGAACTGTTGTGTACAACTATAATGATTTTAACTCTCTCACCTCTAAAAGTAAATAGAAACCTAGTGTCTGTAGTTATTTGTTTATCGTAGGTGCTTTTGTGGTCTTTATTACCACCAGAATTGATGATCTTTTAGTGATTAATTTTTCTCATCTATACCTGTGACTACACAAAGATACCAAGCCACACTGATTAAGGGATTTGCTTAAGGTCACTGAAAGAAGCTTTTACAGAGCAGGACTTTGGTCCTCAGTTCCTTGGTTATTGCCATTTGATTAGTCTGTCTGATCCATTAAAGATTTGATTAGTCTTTTTTTTCTGTATGTGCAGAATTCCTATGAAGTCAGAGGGCTTAGAGACTTCCAGCTGATTAATATTTGGAGCTTGGCTGTAAGTCATAAAAATAATAAACCAACATAAGTCAGCTTTATGGTAAATATTCTTTCTCCAACCTGGGTATTTCAGTGGAGTAAGATAGTAGTCTTGTATCAGGTACAGACATCAAAGATTTATTTTGAGTGCAGTGTTCATATGAGCCCCTTTTTCCCTTCATAGGACATTGTTCTGTGTTTATGTCTTAAATTCTGGTAATATCTATTATAAAAACCCTGGGGCTTACTGGTGGAAGCCTAAACTCGCATTTCACTGGTATCATAATGAACTGGGAACTGTCTGTGTCTAGTTCATGGAAGTATTGTTAGATATCTCTAGTTCCAAACAGGCCACAAATTAGATAATGAGAGAGAAGTCCAACACTAAAGCACCAAGCAGGGCAGTGAGGAAGGAAGAGCTCTGCCAGAGCTTGGGTGTAGCTCACCACTTTCTGGACCTTGCCTCTCTCCAGGCTTTTCAGTCATTTCTGTGCATTTGTGTGTGTGCAATAGTAAATGCTAATCACAAATGTTTACAAAATCTGCTTGTACTGTCTGAATAGCACTTTATGGAAGCCACGCTGGGAAAACCTTTCAGTTAGCACTTTTATTGGTGATTATAAAAATAATAAACATAACTTTATACCACCACTACTATAGATTATCAGTGTGCTAACTACTTGCTTTTTATGTGATATTTGGCTTGGCTTTCAGTCTCTGCTCTCCTCAGCTCCTCCCATGAGACAGCACTCCCCGCACAGACTCCCTGCACAGACTGCCTCAGTGCAGAAAGAAGCCGTTTCAACTCCCAAGCAATCAACAGTGCTCACTAAGAACATTAAGCATTTAGATTTTATTTTATAACATCGAAACACTGCATAGCCAGAAGCTAACTACTCCTTCTAAACTCTGTAAGAGTAGTGAAGAGGATCCAGATTTATATCTGGCAAACCCACAGCCTGGGTTTTGCCCAGGGCTTCTTCAGTGGAGATAGTTTTTGAATCAAGATGGAAAATTTCCCCTTGACTCCTAAGTGCAGAAAATAGGATTTATAGTTTGACAGTTGTCTTACATATCAAAATCCACTTCATAGGCTTCGTAATAAGAGGGGTAAAATCTTACTCCTGTAGAAACCATAGCAACAAAATGCAAATTAAAATATAACATGATGTCATATAATAAAGCAATAGAAAATAATATCACCATTGACCACCTTAATAAAGGATTAATTCTGAAGAATTTCAGTTAGTTTATCAGTGAGGCAAAGTGTGACACAAATTTGAGAGACATCCTGTTGCTGGCCTTTTTAAATACTGCCACCTGTATGTCAGAACAAATGATAAAGACTTCATATTGGCAAAACAAGCTAGGACACCAATAAAAAATATCATACCTTGCTGGTATAATTACAACAAGCTTTTATCTCTGCTTGTTATTGGCAGCAGTTCAGTATCTCTGTACTTCATTTAGCTTTAAAGGGCAGATCAGTTAGCTGACTTAGCAACTGTACATTAATACAATAAGTATTTACACTTAAGAGGAACTGGTTCAATGTTGACAGTGTGAAAAGCACAGATAGAAAATAGCTGTTAAAACATCCCATCTAAACCCGTGCTTTTGGGACATTCTCTGCAAGAATAATTCTGGTGGGTTTTTGTCTTTTTCTTTTTTCGTCTTATTTTCCTAAATCCAATGTCTTTTGAGGTGTGAATGAAAAAAAAAAAAAAAAAAAAAAAGGCAGCTCATAGATTTGGCCAGTATGCAAATTCATTGTAGCTGTTTTCATTAGACAGCACTGGGCTGAAAGCCTGAAACCAAGGCAGTGCTTTGCATTGTGGGACTTTGGCACAGTAAACCAGGATTGGCAAAGTAAAATTACTGCCTTAAACCATAGCTTTAATGCATCGTGGAGAGACAGTGTGTGTATGGTGGACTGTTTAATCGCTCTGTCTCACTGAATCTAACCTGTAACTGTAAGTAGTTTAAGGCAACAATAGAGATGATCAGGTTTTCTCCAGGGAGGGATGGAGAATACCTAGTACCTATGTTTTGGCAAGAGAATTTCTCTCCAGTACTGGTGACAAATCACTTGCTGCAGGGCTCGAAGAATAGTTAGGTAATAATAGGTAATACTTGTATAAAGTACAAAATATCTAAAAAGCATGTCTAGAGACCTTGAATGTGCTATGTTTTAAATACAAGAGAAAATTAAAATAGGACTAATTAAATGTATGGGTGAGGCTGCATAGGCAAGGATTTCAGAGTCTCGTCCTAATCCAGCTTGGAGCCCTGAGGTACTGTAAGCTTGTCTTTTCAAGGTCCCAGTTCTGTGTTACCCCACAGGGGTTGAGGAGAACCCAAGTGACTCAGAAACTTTGAAGCTGAGGCCAAGCATAACTGATTATTTAAATAATTCTTTAGGCAAATTATATCAATATCTGTTATTTTCCATAATCTATGCTTTTCCATTTAGTTTTTAAGACTATATTTACATCCAGAAAAATCAGGTTGAGGAAGAGGATTTGAAGTTAAATTATGTGGAATTTTTTTCAAGTAAAAAAACACCCCCCAGCTAGTGAATTTCTTTTTTTTTTTTTTCCCTCCTTCAGTCTCTGCAATCCATTTAACACTGCCTTGAGTTGATTTCACACTAGGCAGCTCTTTGGGGCTAACAGCCTGAAGCCTGAGAATCAGAGGAGACAGCAAAATTTAGCTTTTAAGCTTTTTGCATTGTTACTACCTCCCTCCTCAGCTCCCCATCAACAGCATTTTTGTGAAATGTAGTGTCTGAAAGTGGTAAAACCTGTGTTAGTGTATCTGTAGCTGGGCATCATTTGGCTACAGTAAAGCTAAAGATAGACAAGACTTTGAACTTTGTCATTTTTGAAAGTTCAAATCAGGTTTGTGCCAATAGATTCTTTTTTTTCTATACATACAATTAATGCCAACGGTGCACAATGAGCAGAAAACCCCAACTCAGCAGTGTTCACAGATTTACTAATCACTTTCTGTGGGTTTACCATGTCAGGGGAGAAAGGGACTAAAGTGAAGAGAATTGCTCAGTTTCCAAATACTCCCTCATTAAAGTGTGCTGGACTTCAGTAAAATCATCGGAGTTCTCTGCCACATCATCCAGGAAGATGATTCTTCATGGTATGCAAGGTGCATTTCAAAATCTTTTCTCAGATTTTTTGATATTGCTGCCTGCTCATTTATCTCTATATATGGTGCTGCTGGCAGTATCCAAGACTTTCCTGTTGCTAATTAATCACCTCCACAGAGAACATAATTAGCAGCTTAATTAGGATCATCATCCACTACTGCTGTAGCATCAGCCTAAACCAGCTGTGAGGTACTGGCTAGAACTTACAATAGCCTACAGTTCCTTTGGGAGCTCCGACTGAGAAGGAGGACTGTCAAAACTCCCTAATTTTTCTCTCTGAAGGAGTTTCTTGATTAAACATTATCAGGGAAAGCAGCATTTACCGATTAGACTTTCATATGCTGTCACGCAGCCAGGATAGAGAGACAAAGCTCATTTCTGGCATGTCTACTGGCAAACAAAGGTTGATTACCACATTCTTATGGGGTGATTGAAGGGAATTTGAAACATTGTTTGCATTACTAACAAGCTTTAAAATAGTGGAATTGACATTCTGAGTATGACAAGCACTTCTTACTAAAAGCAAAAATAAATTTCCTTCTGTTGTCCTAATTTTTAAGAGTTGTCTTTCTGAGCCACTGACAGACTGTTGCATAACAGTGCTTCCTCCTCATCTTGTCTCTGCAGATTGGTCTGTTGGGGGCGAGGAGAAGCTCTTAGTACAGAAATAATCAGTGTTTATATTGTGAGGTGATACAAACCCCCTGATGTCCAGGCTTCCCTTCCTTCAGTGAGGTTATACGCTTAGGGCACAAGTTTGAAACAACAGCAGAAGATGCCATTGCCTTTAAATTCACATTTCTTTCTGTCCTACAAATAGCTTTGACCCAAGTTCTGAAAGATCAAGACAAGCAGTTTGAGAACATGTGAAGACACAGCATATATATTTGTGGACTGCACTGTTCTTTCTCACATAGCTGATGCAGAATAAGATCAGATGCTAATACTGAGAACGAGTACTGAAAGCACATAGATGACTAGAGATAGATATAAGCAACCGAGATAATAGGGATAAAAACTGGAAGCCGCTTAAATGTGAATCATGAGCCAAAGGATGAAAATTCAGGAATGAGATACCCAAGGGAATTAATTCAGCTCTTTTTATTCTACTGTACAAGTCCAAAGCCCTGCTGACTTTTAAATGGTACACAGGTCCCAGAAGAAAAGTAAATGAAAAATTTGATCATGGATTTTTTACGAAGGCCTAGCTAGGAGATCATTATTTTCAAGTACAGATTTACAGGAGAATGAGAGGTCTATAACTCCACTACTGTGGTAAAAGTGTTCAGGTAGAGATAAATAGTCAATTCTTCCTTTTCACCCTGGATCTATGTACCCTCTTACTGGTTCCATTAACTAACATTTAAACAATGCTTTAAAAATTTATTCTGAGATTTCAAGAGGAAATCAAGCTACTAAAATGCAGTATAAATCTGTAAAGAAACTTGTCTATCAGCCAGAAAAAAATAGTAGGTAAATTTACATAATCCTTTGACTAAATTGCAAGACATATGGTCCCCTTAAGTTCCTTCATAAAAACATTACTGAGGCAAGATGGACACATCTGTGCTGTAGCAGAGCTGAGATGGATTCATGTTAGAAGATATTTCTAAACCTAAGGCATATCCTTTTGAGCTGTCACAGAAAGCAACCCCACTGTTCCCAATATGAACATTTTTCTTAAGTACGTAAAGAAAAAGTGATTCAGAAAGTCTGTGCATTTGTGAACTGTGGACCAAGTCCTGCCCCTGGGGAAAGGCTGCATGTTGCTGTGTCCCACACATAGGGGAGTTCTCTCAGGTACCTCTTTCTGGAAAGCTCAGGGAGGAACAAACATCCATGAAATATCCTTGGACAAGAAGAGAGTCATCTGGCACTGTAGTGGGGAATATGAGTACTTCTACCAGGTATTTTTACTTAATGTTTTGAGAGAGTCATGTTAAGATGCTTTGCAAAGATTCTTTAAGCCCACTGTACAGATGGTGAAACTCTAGCAAAAGAGAATTGAATGGGATTGCCCAGCTAAACCAATGGCAAGACCAGGATTCAGTCTGGTATTTTATAACTCCTACTGCAGACACCTCCGCTCTGGACCTTTCTTCTTTGTTATGGAAGAGTTGAATCCAATCCCAGGTGTTCTCTGAATTTAGGAGTGTCTACATCCAGATTTTTAATTCAGTATCCTTAAGAAAGAAGAGCTATCTGTCCCTTTCCAACCTAGGTTGATTTTTCCTTAGTATAGCATATTTTATTATCTAGATTTTAGTTCAGGACTGCATGGATTGTTTTACAGGTAGCTGCCTGTATTATATATTATGCAACAACAAGTATAGCACATTTTGACTAATAAGCTTCTGCCTGTATCTGAGCACCACAGGATTTTACGTAGGATTTTGCTAATTTATGTGTTGAATGGAAGGTTAAAGTTGACTATTTTTTATTCAGCAGGGTCATTAGTTCTCCCAGGAGAGGTGGAACAGCCAGTGACTTATTGTATACCCAGTTTTGACAAGCCTACTCAACTGAAGTTCAGACCCTTGTCAGTTCCACAGCCATCGGATAGCAAAGCCCAAGAGGTATGAGGTCAGATTTATTTATTGGGGTCAGATTTATTTATTGGGGGGGTTGGGATGTTTTTTTGTACCTATTGGCTTCCAGTGTTATTTACAGAAGAACACAGGGATATAGATGGACTGTGTGGAACTGCTATGAGTTAACAAATCACATTATTAATTTTAAAATTATTTTTAAAATTAATAATGAATTCTTAAATACATTAAGAATTGAGATAAACACTCTAATAAAAATGTACTATTTTATCTTGCGCACTGATACTATGCAATCCTACATTTTCAAAATGTGTACTGCAATACTTCAAACTGTATGTGGGCTTTTTAATATTTAATCGGTGTAACTCACAGAATATTCAAGTAAACTCTTGCACTTCCTGACCTTTTAACAAGTCATTACTTACATAGAATGATGGGCCATTTAATTTTCCAGTGATTTCATGATCTTACAACATCCTGCAGTTGTCACTGGACTGAACATAGGAACCACCTTCTGCAAGGAGGAGGTAGTGAATGACATGAATGTGCCATTTAAAAGGAAAAAGACTTTAGAATATATTGTGATCAGAATTGGGATTTATCCTTTTCGAAATGAGTAGTAGCAAGATGCTGCTGAGGATTTGCATTGTCTAGGTCTGGTGTGGAGAGGTTTGCATTATGGAGTCTGAGTCTTTTAATCAGACACAATCAGTAGAAGCTTTAATTTAGAATGCCATTTTCCTTCAGAATTTTGGTTCTTTTCAAATCAGAACAGAAGGTGTGGGTTGCTCACAGGCTTATTTTAAGTCATTAAATTTCCTGTACAAATAGTCAGTGTGAGCATTAACTTTTGGGATTGTTTCTATTGCAGAGAATTCTTCACTGCTCTTTTCCCCTGCCTGATCATTGCAATAGAAGCTGAAGTTAGCTTCTGGCTAAAACGGGCTGTCTTGATAGTTTCATATGCTTGTTGATGTCCCATGAGGCTTAAATCAAGTTTATAAATGATGCGTGACCAATGAAGGTTTGATGTTATAGCAGTGCATATGGTGCCTCCTTTCCTGAGCTCAATTGTGTTTGGTTCTTTGCAATAAACTTTTTACTATAAGGAACAAGTCTGCTTTGGGAAAAAGTAAATGTTCTAAAATGACCTTTCAAGCTTTAATACCCACCATTCTGTGAATAAAAATACTCACTTTTTTCCCTAAGGATTGACATAATTCAAGAGTTTTGCCTTGGAGAAATACCTATTGGCACAAAAAAACCCCTAGAATGAGGTTTTATGGTTTCTCATTTGATAACTTCTGTATAAAACCAAAGAAGAAGGAGGGTTGTAGCAGCCTGCAGTGTTCATAAAGGATTGCATATGACTCTTTAAACTATAATTCATGAAAAATAGATGAAGATCCCACTGCATGCAAAATTCATTTCCATTTGAGGAAAAGTTGGGTTATGAAAGAGAATCTGAGTATTATTACGTTGGTTAAGGGTTGCTGCATTTTTCAAGAAGAAAGACAGTTTTCACAACCGTTTGGTTGGTGCCAGGCTACTCAAGATGAAGGCAGACTTTCCCCTAAATTATACACATATGTGTGCCTTCATTTAGATAATATAACTGTGGCCTGATTTTTACAACTGTCAAGACTGAACAGGTCCATTTTAAAATCCCTCAGTGCTTCAAATTGTCATTGCCTTGAAAATTAATTCTTGCATTGCTTATGGCAGGACTAGTTTAGAAAGAGGAAGAAGATTTTCCCTGGAGACATCCCTTTTCTGAACTGAGACTGTTCTCTGTCCATCAAAACAAATCTCTTTTAGGAAGGGCAGCAGAATGTGGCTGCCTAGTCGGTGCCTGTGAAAAACAAGCAAGCTTAATAGTGCAATGTAGGATGTCAAATGTCTATGCTATGGACATATTTGTGAAGGAAATCAGGGGAGGGTGTGTATCTCTGAATATATTGCTAGGGAAAGTTTAGAAAAAGAAGCTCTGCTAAGAGTATATAACTTGACTAATTGCTAAAGAACAGCTTATCTCCCTGAAACTGTTATTCTGTCAAAAACTGTTCGGAAGAGGCTCAGTGAATGACACAGCAAACTATTTGTGTTGTCCACCAATGCTGCTTCATCTTTCTTCCCTGGTTTTAGACATAAATATTATTACTGGATTTCAATATCGACAGGGTAGCATACATGACCTCCCACAGGCCACTGCAAATTGAAACAACTTTTACTCCATGAAGTACATTATCATAGAACATTTACCTTCCCTACCCAGATATTTATTCTCTCCTTTATTTCTACTTAATACTTTTGTTCATAAAAGACATAATTGGTTTTTTAATTAACAGCATGTCTTATGTCTGCTTCCTAAGGGTCTTCATTTGATATGTGCCCCCCAGCCTACATCTGAGTGCAATTGAATGCGTATTTTCCATCCACTCACTAGAAACATGCATTCAAAGTGGGCTTTATCTCACCTAACTTCACCTTAAATTTAGTTTAATTTAGTCCTTCTGTCATCAAGAGGGGAAGATAAGCACCTTCAGAAAGTGATTCATCCCAGTTGCTCTAGGCATTTGTCCTAAAATACATCTCTGTCCACAGGGTCTTTTTTGGCTAGTTAACTACCTTAATCTAGAAGCCAAATTTTTATATGGATGTGATTAGGAAACATGAATTCTGCCCTTCTTTTCTCCTTTGTTTATCTTTAATTTGAGCACTCAAAAAAGTATTTACCAGGCCTATCATTTTATCTTTATCAGTGGAATGGAAGCATCAAGCACCTAAAATACAGCTTCCATTGAATTCTTTTGGTTTAAGGTTTTACTGATAGGCCTCAACTGAGCTTTGTTTCTGCTAAGTGCTATGCATAAATCCAACAGGAACAAGGAAGAATTTAAAGACAGGATTGACTAAGTGAAAGAAGATGGAAGAGTTACATCTTCTTAGAGGCCAGTAGAGACAGAGACTGAGTGACTTGTCCAGAATGATGAAGCAGAAGTGGAAAACTGGTCATTTATTGACTCCCAATCCAGTGCCCCAAACTCAAGACAAACTTTTTTTTTTTCTCCCAAATGCCTCAGTATATATTAAGCTTATATAAGATAATAGCATACGTGCCTTTCCCTCTCTTTTTTAACTTATTGTTATTGAGCTAGTAAGTTTTCCCTTGAGTATACAATGAAATAATTGGTGAGTGTATGTGCATCCTTTACATAATTGAACAAGTGAATCACAGAGTGCCGTAATTACACAGAAGCAAAGGTTTTAGAACAGAGACAAGCAGTTAACTCCACACAGATTAATAAAAAAAAAAGAGTTGCCAATTATTAATAGACTATTGAAAGTCTCAACTTTAAGGTATTTTATTTACAACATTACTTTGTAAAACAGCCTCTAGAAAAATACTTCAGTTATTAATATGAGTATTACATTATTTTCCCCTTTAATTTGAACATGCAGGAACTGTAAATGAAAATGATTTTTTTCTTCAGAGAGTAAATCACAGGAGCAATCTTAAACAAACTGGCAGTATTCTAATAGAGCAAAATTCTATTCCCAGAGCTCTCAAAAAGATTTCAATTAGATGTTAAATTAGACACCTGAAATTCATATATTTCTCTCAGCTCCTTAGGCAAAAATAACAAGATAATAACTTGATCAGCTCAGAGAATTCAGTGTTATATTGCAAAATGTCTTCCTTTTGAAATAGATCAAAATTGCAATTTGCAGTATAAAAATTTTAGATGGCTTGTCTGCATGAAAGGTTGAAGTGAATGGCTTCTTGGGAGAAGAAGCAAAAAAAAAAGAATCCCTAGGGCTTTGAGTACTCATTGCAGAGATGAAGCACACTGATAAATATGCAATGTGAATAAACTTTTCAAATGTGCAATGAGTGGGTAACAGAAAAATTGTTAACAGTGAAGTTGGGTATGTTCTACTTGGCCATCTATTTTCAGTTAGCATTTTGGGGCTGAGTTTTTTAAACAGAAGTTTTTCCAGTATTTCTCTGTGTCTGCATAAAATGTTCCTGGAATGACATGAAGGTCAACAGAAGGGCATAGGAGCATAGTGAATGTGTGTATACTTTCCATAACTATGCTGGGAATGGAAGAATAGGTTTGGTTTTATTTTTTGTAGAATCCCTGTAAAGACTTACTCTAATTTAAACTCTTCTTAGCTTAGTTACCTACAGATGTGGTAGCAAATATTGTTACAACCAAATGAACTGAAAAATATTGGCACCTTGCATTGTATTTTAGAAGAGCATTTGGAATTCTGCAGAAGACAGGTAGTAATGAACCCCGATTACTGGTACCAGTTGTTACCCAGCTACTGGTACCCTTACTTGCATGGAATTTTAGGAGGCTTTGTCTGTGGAAAAGATGAAAGGAGCCTTAATGGCCTTAGCCTTAATGGGAAAGAGAGCTTGTGTGCAGGCTTTGTCTCATGTAGACATTCCCTGATTGTGCTATTTGTAGAAGTTAATGAGGGTTACCTGGGATAGTCTACGTATGTAAGCAAGATTGTCTTTGCATGTGGAATGAATATTGTTTTCTAGACCAACTATATCTACAGAGTTTCTTTTTTTCATTTATAAATGCTACAGGTCGGCATCTGGGATGATTTGTATGCTTCAGCATCTGTTGAAGCCAATGTAAGTCAGGTCCCTAGAATATTAATCAATATGGATGATTAATAAAATTATACAAAACCAGAAAAAATATTTCTTGATCAATCAGGCAGTATTACAGCTGATTGATGAAGGATGTAGATACTTGCAAGATGCTTGCTGCCATGTCTGTCAGGCGCCGCTAGAGAGGAATCCAACTACCACTTCTCTGACTTATTGGATGGCATTAACTGTGTCAGTGCAACATCTTACAAAATGTTACCAGAACTGTGTGGGATACTGTGCCTTCTAAACTGAGCAGTGACCATCGAGGCTCAGTGTGCTTCCTCCCTTTCAGCAAAACAAATAAGTGTATTCTTTAAATACATCAGTAGTCATTGGCTTCATTGAGGATTCATCAGAAGTTTGAAAAAATAAGCATGTGTTTAAATGTTTTGCTGATTTAGTACTAAAGTACTTTGAAGCACAGAGCCCTTGAGGAGATGTGCTATTTTTCCTGGTTGAAATTTCTAGGCATTTTATATTAACTTCTCAAAGGATAGGGAGCATTCCTGTACAGATTGGGCAGTGAGGATTGTCTCCTGTGTAGCTCTGGAATTAATTTTATGTAACTGCTTACCATAAACCTTTTGTATCATGGCCCCCTGCAGTTTCTTATCATCATGCAGCCTGCCATAGTTATGTGTTTTCAGTATTTTATTTCATAGGCAGAGCCTTTATTCTAAGATATTTCAATGAGAAGCAATACAGAAATGCTATAGGCTACATCAGCAAAGCAAATATTGGCAAATGCAGTAAGACTCTGTGTTGATCATGCAAGAAATCCAGACCAACCAATTGCATATCTCCGAGATGATCAAATTTTAGAGTCTGAAAATTGATTATGTGTCATTCTACTCATTCCAAGCATTTCCTTTGCTGAAACTGTGTTCTGGGAAGCATGTTACATTAGTATCAGGTGCATGTACACCAAAGCTTTTTTTGATACTAGCCCAGATTTTAAGGATATGGAATCTGTCTTTTAAATTTAAGATAGCTGTATGTAACTTGTCCATATCCCCACAGCCCTGCCTCTACAAGTTGCAGGAGTGTAATAGATGTGTGCAAGGGAGGTTTTTAGATTCCTTGCCTTGAGCAAAATTAGCTAATGATATTCATTCAGATACAGTACAGTACAAATGTGGCACATTAAATGGCTTAAATTAGGTCAAATTGAATAATTGAATTTATTCTTTTACTTAAAAAGAGCTTAATCAGCTGAGAGTGCTAGAGTCAGAAAAAATAGTTTAATTAAATATTAATTAGAAGTTTGTATCTTGAGCTCCCTTATCATCACTTGCAGCCATATTATTTATGTATCTGTTTTTTCCTCATTACAGCTACTAGGGGATGACGTTCATCCATTCTCGCTTGATGAAGAATTTGATTATGACAATGTGGCACTGACCCCTAAGTTCTCTGAAGCTGAGCTGAAGGCCATTGTAGAATTGTCTGAAGAGAAGAAAACCGGGACAGATGTCAAGTCAGCACAAGCTGAAGATTGAGTCAAAGTCATTCTGTGCAGTGCTCCTGAAATAACCATTTTTAGGGGGTAAAGCTTCACTGTACCCTTATTTAGAGTTTTTATCTGTATGGCCAGTACATGACATTCTTGAGATTTTTTTGTTTGTTCTACCAAGATGCCTTGGAGCCTGAGGTTGCCTTTTCCTGTACCTTCTCCTAGTCCTCCTGAAAACACAGAATAGGAAGATAGTGCTTGTCCAGAGTTGCTTGTATAGGAGCCCTTTAGCCATAGAGGAAGTATTTCCATCCTTTTTATATGTCTGTACACCGGTTTGCTTAGGCATTCAGGCTGATTGAGGAGGTCTGTATTTGTCCCTAAACCCAATGGTATTTTTGTATAGATCAGTGACCTTTAATATTTTTAGGCCCCAGCCATCGGGTACTTTGTTGTTTTCCAGGTGGTACAAGGGAGCTGGAAGCATGTCATAAATTCCCTTTTGTAGAAAAATTCTGGAGCAGAGTAAATCCTGTATTGGCTCAGGCTAGGTGTGCTGGAGTAATTACTTCCTAGGACCAAAACATGCTGGTGGAATTCAGAATGGCATTATGACTACTCTTGCTAATAGTTGGTATTGACTCAGTTTCTGACTAGTGCAAAGCTAGTCCTAAGCTGCCTTTTACCTGATTCTTTCAGTAATGCAAATAAGAGCTTTTTACAGCTGACAAATGAGTCTATAAACTCTTTCCCTATATTTACAAGACTTAAATATGCAGAGTTATATGAGTGAATAAATCTGAGAATATTGTGGTTTTTTTCTGTCTCTTGAATTACTTTAGTTCTGCAGAGAAGTAAATATTCCTGTTTCCAGTAAACTTTTTGAGTTGATCAAATTTGACGTGGTGCAACTCCTAACAATTAAAACATGAACTGCTGCAATAAGTCTTCCACACAGAGGAAAAATTAGTGATCTCATCCATTAAAGGAATTGGCATTGAAAGGCTGTCAGATATTACATTTTATTACGGGAGATGATTCCAAATACCAGCTTATGGCTTGCATTCAGCATCACTGAAATACGGCAAACTCTGGAGTTGAGTAAAGTCACGTAGTATGGGTTAGGGGAGAAGCATGTGCATCTCTGACACAAGGTAGTATGTACTCTTGCTAGGAGGTGTTTAGAACTCATTTTTGTCAGCTTCCTGTAGCAGCTTTGCTCTTGAGGCTTGGTTTAACATCACAACACTGAATCGTATTATTGGTCATTTTCTGGTATAACTGCATTAGCTAAAGTTTATTGACCAACATTTTGTCCTTGGCCTATCTCCATTATTTCTGAAGTGGGTGATTAACATGATGAATATGGGAAGAGTGCCTGAGCAGACAGACTAGAGACCAAACCACAAGTTGTTTAAAGGCTCTGGATGAATTCCCTGTGGCTGGTTGGCAGCTCTGTTGTCAGAAATTTATAAAAGCAAAGAAAGGTGCTTTGATGCTCCAAAAGACATTTTTCTGGATCAGTAATTTCATAGACCATAATCACACATCACTGAAATCTGAATAACATTTGTTTTTAGGAATGGTATTTACCTCAATTAGGGGGATATAATTTGACAGTGAGATTAACAAAAAACAGAGAAGAAAATGGTCTCAGACAAGATGCTTAAGGAGAATGATATCAAACTACAAGTGTGTTGTATAGAAAAACTGGTCTGTATAGGACCTTGCTGGTAGAATGTAGTGAGAAATTTATTTTTAATGTGTATGCTCAAAAGGATGCCCGTGCTGTAGTTAAACCAGGTTTTCATGCAATTGGTTGTACAGCAGGTTCTGCTGTTTGGAAAACTTTTTTATTTTTTTTAAAATGTGAATTCATTTGAATTCAATGGAGTGTTTTGTTGAACCCAAGATATTTTGAATTAATTGCTTCAGATCCAACTGGAATTTTCTAGTGAAACATTCAGCTAAAAATTCCTGAACAAATTTAATTATTAATTCATCTTCTGGAAGACACAGATAATGTCTGTAAATGGGAGGGGTAAGAAGTATGTTCTGGAAGAGCTCCATGAGCAAATCTGGGAGGAAGAAATTGAGAACTGCTGTACAAAGATAGCAAGGTCAGCCTTTGAAAGCCTCAACAGAAGAATAAGGGAGGCAACTTCATTAACATATGTATGTATAGCAAAGATAAAGTAAGGAACCTTCAGTCTAAGAGACCTCTGTGTACAGAGTTTGCTATTTTGCAGACAAAGAATCAGCCTTAAATAAAGGTGAACTTTCTGTGGGTTTGTGGGATGATGAATTCAGCACTTCTTTTGGGGTATTTTTTTTAGAAAGGCATGAGACACACAAACTGTAGATCAGTCCTGCCAGAATCTTATTGCCAGTAGAGTGAATGAGAAAACTTGTCCAGGGGTTCATAATGATCTTCAGGCCAAATCAGCTCTGGAATCTCTAAGTGCATTTTCTATTCATTTCATTATCAATTTTCCCCTGTCCATTAGGGATACATCCAGCCATTCAGTTCCTTCTCTCATAAGCAGATGATTCTCTTACCAAATGTTCAGAGTATCTATTATGCTCCATAAGTGTCATTCAGTATAGTCATTATATGGTTTGGTTTGATATAAAGAAACGCTTTGCTGCAGAATATTCAACAAAATTGGAACTCTTTAGTGACATCCATCTTATGCAGAGAAATGGGGATAATTCACTTACATTTACACCACTCATGAGTTAGGTGTTTGCTCTTTGTTAACAGAGATGAATATCTCAGTGGAGATTAGGCAACCTAGGCTACATTTTCTGAACATGACATTTTATGGGCCTGCCCTGCAGTTGTTTTTGGCTTGTACCTTTCATTTGATTATCCTTCACAGAGGAAGCATATTTTCCTCTTCTCCATTACCAGGTTGTCATTTTTAAGGATATACTTTATGTGCATGTTAAATTTTATACATGTGCATGGAGTTAGTTACCTGGAATTGTTTCAGTGTTTGCGAGGTGATCTGGAGTCTGAATAATGTATACCTTGTCCTCTTGTAGCTTGTATTTTCTTTAATATTTAATACTTTTAGCAGGGGTTGGTGAGGGACATTCACTTTTTCTATTTATGGTCTTTTCTAAACATTTTTCCTGTTTTCCAAAAGAATTAAAGGCAGAACTCATGCATGGAACAGGAGGTTTCAAGTGCTACCTGGAGTTGACGTAGGGGCTGCTGCAGTAAGGAATACAATTTTCTCACTACCACACTGACAAAGATTTTGAACTGCAAGATTGCTGATTTTGCGTGAACCCGCTGGAAGGGAAGGCTGTGAGATGCGTCTCTATAATCCCTCTGTATTTGTGGCTACCTTGATGGCTAAAGTGTAATAGAGATACACATCCATATCAGTCAGTAGCTCATCTGTATGAAACTTGTTGCTTACTTGAGTGTTACCAGAAGGACACTGACTGTTTCTTTCCACAGTCTTAACAGATCCTGAGTTACGGGGAGGAAGGACATGAGTTTTACGGGAAGTGTAGTAGCCCTTCCACTGGGGCAGGCATCTGAAGGGTTTTTTCCTTGGCTGACAGGCTTTGATATTATTAATACTCAGAGTTACTCTTTGTGGGTGTAAAAGGAAGAGTAATTATTTTCTGAGATAATAATAGTTGTGAAAGAATAAGACAAAAATTGAAGAAATGAAAAGAGATGCAGACAAATCTGACTCAGACATTGTTATGGCTCTAAATATATTTCTATTAATGCACAAAGGTATCCTTATATACACTTGTGTACACACAGTGCCACTGAAAGAAAATAATTTTAGTATGGAGAGTACTCACCAGTTAATTCAGAACCTTTTGAAGAAGATGGCATGGAAACAAATCCCCGCTCTTCCGGAAAAGACCCTTTGATCCTCTGGCCTTGATTTTCTGCTGCTATAAACTGGCAGAACTCCACTGAGGCCATTTGTATTCATTCAGAGCAGACAGGACCCTGGTATTTACAGTCTTAGCTGAAAGAATACGGAGCCAAATCAATTCCTCATTTAACTTTACTGAATAGATAGCTATGTATGTGACCCATTATCATTATGGGAAAATATTTAAATGCAGAGCCAATGCAAATGAAATGTGAAAAACATATCTTTAACTGTTCAGTTACTGATTTTACATGGGTCATTTTGGAACTTCTGTAGTGTTGTATGCTCAGAGTATTGCTTTTTGCTTTATCAAAAATATCGCATACATTTTCAAGCCATGAAACTTGATTGCATACATAACTAGTAAAGATTCCCACCTCCTTTAAAGTGTTTTTTCCCTCTGTGTCTTGGGCAAGGATTGGAAGTGGACTTTGCTTTATCTTGGAATTGTTTTGAAAAGATCTGACATTCCTTGTAAAAAACTTTCTTGTAAAGACGGACTCTCTCAGTGATGCAACACTAAATGCAGAAATAAAAATAGGACCAAATTCCGAGTTATTCAGCAACTTCATGTATGTCATGGTGTGGCTAAAGAGCCACTTGGTGTCAAAGTGTCTGCAGGCTGATTTGTATCCTGATGTCTTCTACCTTCAGTTTTACTGGGGAGTCTAAGCAGTGGCTTGGTCCTGCCTGGGTATGAATTCTTACAGTCCTGCAAGATAATTCAGTTACGCTGACCAAAGAAGCTGAACCAGCAAGCTTGTACCAGGGCTCCACGCACACTCCAACCTGCTGAATAATTTAGCTGAGTGTGGCTGTCCCCATTCAGTGGGGATTTGCGTGACAACCCTCGTGACTGTGATACTCCTGAAGACATGCAATGGAGAAGTGATGACGGACAAGGGTTGGGGCAGACATTCATTAGACCCTGTGTCCTTTCTGGGGCTGTGGCCTCGTCATGTTCAAGCCACCCAGCAAAGCGAGGAAGCCAGTGCTCAGGGTCCTCGCTGGGCTCAGGAGCAAGCTCCCGCACCGCAGAGCTGGGCGCTGCCGCAGCCAAGGGCATTCCCACTGCCGCCTGCTTTCTTGTGGTGAGGTGGCAGTTAGCACAGGTGGGTGCGAGGTGACACACGTGTCCCAGGCTCTTCAGACGGATGTGCCTCTCACTGGCTGCCTGTGGCACCTTGGCCTTGGGCACCTGCAGTTCTCCCAGCTGCTAAATGTCTGCCCATCCCTTGGGAAAATAAGACAGAGAGTTTTCTCTGAAATGGTGTTAAGTTGTAGAACATCTCAAAAGATGGTGAGTTTTGTAAATTGGCGATTGCTGGCTGTTGAAGGTGTCACCTTATGTTTTGCTGTCAAGGTACCGTAAGCCACCGTTGCAGGTGTATGAGCAGTGAAATGCCATAGAGTGGGACTGGAGATCGTTTTAGTGCTTGTTTATGACGTTTGCCAGAAGAAAAGCAAGTGTTAAAAGGTACTGTCATTTTTATAGACAGGCTACTTTATTTGCAATTTCAGTGCCCCACAGTTAAAATGGAAATCAATTTTAATGCCTTAGGAAAATGCAGAAATATTTCTCTCATTTACAGCACTTCCAAAAAGGACAGATAGTAAAATTCCTCTGATTAACAATCTATAATTTTATGTGCTCTGTGGTCTCTTGTTCAGTACATTTATCTGCATAAACGTTTCAAAATAATAAGCAAAGATAGATCTGAACAAAATCCCTAAATCTAACTTCACACTGAATGTCAGGTTGTAGAAATTCTCTCTATATATTCCAAGCCCTCTTTGATCTGAATATTCCCATAGATATGGGGAAGTAGGTACTCTGCTCTTAAAATCTTTATCCAAACATTTCTCAAGCAACCACTTAGTACCCATCTGGACTAAAAAAACAGTCAAGCAGTGAAGGACCTGGCCCATATAAAAAGAACTTATGGAATATGAAGACTGGAATAACTGCACTCTGTAGGAGGATAATGGATAAAAGGACTCTAAAGACAGTAGAATTAAATGGCAAATGATATTTTGCTAGAGAGTGAACCATATTAAAATATTCTGTTGACTTCATACAATTCTTGAGAACCTTTGAATGCCCAACTCAAAGATTAGTGTAATCATTTTGTGATTCATGTGGATTTACAAGAGAGTTATCTCTTGAGCCATTAAAATGAGATTAAGAATTGTGTCACATTCTTCAGTGTGTTTTGTGGCAGTGCTAACACCATAAATTAAGGCTTTAGCCTCATTCTATCATATGTTACAACAGAGTTTGTTCTTTTGTGGCTCTTGTGGTTGAGGAGTCTGGTGGCACAGTTTCTGGAGCACAGGTGTGTACTTGTAGCAAGTAAGCCTTAAGTTTAATAAGTTTGCTTAAATCCATCTGTTTTTCTGTCCCTATGTATAAAACTTTGTAATATGCAATATGATATGCATAATTCTTAGAAAGCAGGAAGTGTCATTTATTGTGTTGCTTATGCTCCTCGCAGTAATTTAGCTGGAGGACAGATTCTACCGACTACTTGGAAGCATTGATTCTGCCATTTAGATTTGCTGCAGATTGCACATTTGTTCTTTGAGAGAGATATGTTGAAATGCATTTTTTTTCATCCTCTTTTCCTTATTTTTGTTTTTGTCAGATTTGCAACTAGCTTTCCTAAACTTGACAAGACGCTACATTAATTCGATGAGCTACTTTCCTGCTGGATAAAATTTTAAAGTAAAAAAGATGGAAGGCTGGAGTCTGGGCCAGGAAACATCAAAGCACCATTAGAATTTCATGCACAAGCTTAGCATTTGCAAAACTTTCAAAAACAAACAATCAGGAAAACACAAATAATGGTCAGCCTGCTTACTGAGTGAAAATTTAATTCCAAATTGCCTTTGTTTAAGTCAGTTGCTTACACTTCAGCTCCTCTGCCCACCAAGGATTCTGTTAGCTAACATATTTCAAAATTCAGACTGTCAAAAATACTGACAGCTCGTACTAGCAGAATAGCATTTCCCGGAACAAAATTGTGATCCATTTAAGGCTCTTTGTTTGGGGTTTTGAAATACTTCCTGAATTCCACAGATTTATTTGCTATTCATGAACATTAATAAAGTATACTACACAAAAAATAATGGCCCAGAGGATATCTTTCTGCTGAGAGCAGGAAGAATCAAGCTAGTGGGAAGAGAGGTTGGCTGAGCAGACAAATATTGCCTGTGCACTGAATGTGATGATTGATGTCTTGCTTTTGATTCTTTTGCAATATTTGTACGAGAATTTTGGTTGCCAAAAGAGCTGGTTGAATAACACTCCTCCCCACCCCCAACCTATGGATATGAATGTGCTGGTAAACAAGCTATCCAAATTCAGTTGGCTATTATTCCAAAGGTAGTATTATTCATTATGGGGTGTTTTTTACAAGGTTCTTGCAACTGAAAGTATTTACTAATTGACAGGATTAAGCTCTGATCACAAATGTTCAAATGAGTGTTTATCTGGTACTGCTGGTCATCCTATGCTTCCCAAAATTTCATTTTGAGAATGTATATTCTTTTGATACTTTTCACTTGCTGCACCAGAACCAGGAGATCAAAGTCATCCTTCAGAGACAATACTGAAAAACCATAACTTGGAGTGCTCTGAACAGAAGTGATGAAATTAAGAATGAAATAGAATTAAGTAGTCTTAAATTCAGGGAAAACAACTTGCTGAAATTCAGATATACTAGACTCTGCAAGTACTACAAAGGGAAGTTGGTGGAGATGATTTGCTAAGGTCAGTTAAAAGAAATCTGAAAAAAATATTAGAGAATATGCTATAGGAACAAATTACTGAATCAGCCAGGAGTTGGAATTGATTAATATTTCCCTCTAAGGCTAAGAGAATGACGTGAAAATGAATGGTTGAAGTCTGAAGAATTTTACTTCTTAAGGTTGTTAGTGTCTTGGGATTCCTATTCTGATAATGGAAAAAAGGATGGTTCTGTTTAGAGGTGCAGGTTCAGTCTGACTGTTGTAGTTCCAGAGCATTTCTACAAACACTTCATTTGTACACAGGCTGGCAACCCATTTATGAAGCATCACTGCTAGCATTTGAAAAATGAGAAATAATGTATTATTTAAATATTCTGCTTTTCTGAACAGCCTAGTTGCATAACAACTGCACAGTAAGATAGGAGAGATAGGTTCCCCCCCACCCCCCCTCTTGAAAAAGCAGCTTAATTTAGAATGTTGAAGTGGAATGTTGGCTCAGAACCACATTAGGGCTTTGAGAAAACCTGTGTCTGTATGGAGGTCTGTGGCTCATGACCTCATGGCTCAACCTTGATGTCTTTGCCTAAGAATGACATCACATTTAATCTTACTTTGGAATATGTGAAGTTAGTTTCTTTCCAGAATCCAAAAGCACTGTCAAATCTGTATTTGCAGGGCATGCTTCTTTTACTGTTTTTTTCTCCTTGCCTTTGTTGGTCTCAACTGCCACTCTATATAGCAAGCAGTATCATAGAATGTAACAGAGAACAGGGTATGGCAATGCTACATTTTCCTCCCATACTGGGAGATGAAGACATTATTGAAGCCCTTTGGTTGGCCACTTGTCAATTTGAATAGATGTGTATAGCCTGTATTTTTACAAACCATTTGTATTATCCAAATCAGGGAGGTGCTGCTGGTTGACATAATTCAGAGCAAAACTCAGTTCAATCAGCTCCAAAATATTCTGTCTTTTGGTCACTATAAATTCCTCTTGATACTCCCATCCCATGTAGGTCTCGGAATCAACACAGCAAACACATGAACCCTCACTGCCCTCTGTTGTAGTTGGGCTCTTGTGTAATGCTGCCAATTCTCTGGGACACTTCCAGGAAGCTGCAGCTTACCAAGAGGCTCCCCAGAGGAGGATGTAATTTTTATTTATTTTCTGTTCCAAAACATACCTCTGTGTAACCCTGCCTCACCCTGTCCTCCCCAAAGGAATGGCTGGGGAGAATACCAATGCCTGAACTGATTACCACTTGTTGGTTTAACTGAGTGTTCAATTTTGCTTTTCAGTTCACCTTCCCTAACCTTTCTTTTCCAGATGGAATTTTACTTCTGGTGCCAAGCTCTGAGGAAACAAAAATGTGTGTTTCTTCAAACCACCCCCATCTTATTAACATTCAGAAAGATGTTTGCTAATGTATTCAATAGGAGAGGAAACTGATTGCTACCTCACAGTAAAGTTTCTCTGTTTTAAATGTTAATTGTTTTAAGCACTCTGGAGTTTTCTGTGACCTCTAGGTCATTTTTTTTAAATGATGGTTGATACAATCTCTCAGAAGATGGGGGGAAAAAAAGTCGTTTGCTGGCCTAGTTTCAGGTGACCTCTAAAAGTTCAAGTGGACCAATTACACATAAAAGAACAACAACTTTTGTAAAGCTTCATTTCAATCCCAGAGGGGAAAAATGATAGAAAATCAATTAACTTTCCACATGAAAAAATAGCTCATATTGCCAAGCTTTCCTTGCATAGTTTCTTGATTATGTTTGGAAGCAAATTGCCTTGATTATACCTTTGACGGGAAGGAAAGCCTTTTAATTAATTTAATACATACTATAGCAGTGCTAAATTGTATCATGGAACAATTAAGCGGGCCTACACCGATATTTTTGCCCTGTTGAAAATGGATATTGCTCACTTAGTGAGTCATGCTCTTGCTGGGCTGACGCAATTATCCGTTCATTGCAGAGCATGTGACATAAAAGCTATTAGGGCCTTTTATATAGAAGAGAGGCTAAATGGAGTAAACAAAAAAGACAATTTCAGTGAAGAGCCTGAAATGTCTCCTTTGATCAGAAATTTGGAGAAATCTCAGCTAATTTTCAGAGCCTGTACCCACACTGGGTACTGAACCAGACCCCCAAACCCTAAGACAGCCCTTACTTTGGGGATATTCAGGCTTCAGATCTATTTTCTCTCTGCCCTGGACTGAAATGAGGAGTGGAAGTGATTCTCTGTCGTGTACTGACAGATGATCCTCAAACTTTTGTGCAGCTATGAGCAATTGATAGCAAATCTGTAGTAGCATCTACAGTAGCTGCTGCACTAGCTGCTTCTTAAACCAATTTTTGCCTCAATCTCTTAGCCAAAACCAATTATTTGTTGTGTTTGCTGAGAACAGGACTTTGAAATGACACTTTAAATGCAAATGTTCTAAATATAACAACAAACAACGTACTCTCTCTCTTTTTTTTTTTTTTTTTCAAATAATGTGTGTTTTTGTATCATTAATGACGTTACATTATATTCTTTAAAGAAAATAATGTTAAGAATCTTCTTGATTTGTCTCTGTTGATAATGTACATTTTCTTGTCTTGCTAAACCAGAACAACTGGGTCACTCTGCTTTCCCTGATAGATCTCGCCTGTTGGGAATGTATTTGCCTGTACTATGCTTTTCACGCTGAGCTCTGCTGGGTCTTTCTCGGTGAGTTGTAGAATCACATGTCCAAGAGCTAAATAACAAAGGGAAGAGTCTACCACCAGAGAATCGCTCATGAATTCGCTCATAGCTGTCTAAACTCAGATAAAATAGTATCACGCATTTTTCTAATATTCCAAGGCCATAAACAATGAAAAATAAAAATCTGCGAGGAACAATCCTTTCATTGTATTCTCTCTGGTCTTCCTCATTTCTTAGAGAAGGGCCAACTGATGAGGGATTTGTTTATAAAAGAAAGCTAGTACGTATGTTTAGGGAAAGACTCGAGGTGGGAGAGGAAGCTTTCCTGTAGCAGTGTGAAGGCGAATCTGCTAGAAATGAATTTCAGAGGTGCAGAATTGTGACTGTGAGTGCTGTACCACAGGACTGGTATGTCCTGAGCTAGTGCATTCTGCATTATTTAGAGATTTCATTTAATTTGAAATCTTAGATTTAATAACTAGCATTTTGAGTTGTGACAGAACAGGACTGGAAAACATCAGTATGCAAGGAGCACTCTCAGAGGCACTCTTGAGGCTTGTGTACCAGTAAAAATATTTATAGTATTGACCAGAATGGCAAAATCTGTAACCAGTATGGCTGCATGACATTGTCTGGCATTAGGTAGGGAGGTATGGCTTAATTCATTAAAGACTGACTTTCTCAAGGATGGATTTCAAATCTCGTGGCTCACTGAGGGAGCCAGTATGGTGAAATGGCTAACTCAATACCTGCCCCTCCCTGGTGCCCGCTGGTTGTTGCCAGTCTTTTGAACTAACTGGGGACTGTAGCTTCAGTGACCTTGACTGTGATGATCAGGCTTAACTGACCAAGTGCAGTCAGTAAATGTGTCTGAGAAAACAAATGTATTTGTTTTCCACACTGATGGTACAAATACGTATTTGATTTTTGTATCTGGTGCGTGAATAGTCCAATATAGCCCTCTACCTTCCTATCGATAGGGATTATGCAAAAAAACCCTTTTTCCTTTTTCATTATTTAAACTTGTCTTTCCTATAATCATAGATTCCATACATTTATGTAAGTTCTCCCAAGTGAAAAATAACAAAAATATAATATTCATTCACACTACTGTATTTTGATTGCATTATGGTTTTATTTTTAATGTTTATCCTTTGTCATCAAGAGGTAAAAACCAAGTTTTCATCTTGTTGAAAGGCAAATATAGATGGTTTGGGAGCTTTGTTAGTGCTGGGATCAGCATCACGGTTAGCCAAGACCTAACCCCTCTGAAAGACAGAAGAGTGAGTCAAAGATGGTTGAAAATGTCACTGATGCATAAAAGCAATCATGTATGGTTAATCATTCCCACTGTAAATGGAATGTGATTTCCATTGGGTTACCCTAGGAGAGATACTGCTTGACAGTTTCAGCAAAAGTATTAAAGAAAAACAGTATTTTTAGGGGAAATTAAAAAAAAAAAAAAAAAAAAAAAAAGCCTGGTCTATTTCAATTCTTGAACTTTCCACTTAGGCCTGGGATCATTATTTCCTAACTGCAGTTGTGCCCCAGGAGAACAACAGACCAGTAAGAGACTCCCAAGTGTGATCCTGGCTGGCTAACTCTCTTAAGAGACTAATGGATGATGGGCAGGGTTTAAGGGAAAGCTGACAAAGGGAGAGAAGAAAGGTCACTAACTGAAAAGTTTTTTTTTTTTCCTCTTGGACAAGAAAGGTTAAAGGGGTGAAAGCAAACACGTGATTCACTTTGGTGAAACGGGATTAGAAGATCAATGCCGGGCTTGATGAGCATCATGTAAGAAATGCTCTTTCCCGGTACCTAAGTCCACAGTAAGAAAGTATTTTGTTGGGGAGGAATTACTTGGTCACCCTTACATTTTTTCTTATTTCTCTAAAGTAACAGGAAAAGGAGGGTATTGGCCCCGTAAAACCACTTCTCCGTGCACAACACACGGTGGCAATGTTGTACCACTCCTGAACCACTGTCGTGCGGCCCTTA